AAGGTTAAAAAGCACAAAACCGAAACTCGATAGTCGCGCTGGTATCTGTGCGAACATCTGTCACAGATACGCGTCGAACGACGCACGGTGGGGTATTTGCCCGATCTGAGCGGCCAAAATTAAAGACAGGTTTATATCGACTTTTTACAAGAAAATATAAACTATATATAACTTGATATAAATATATAAAAAATATATATTTATATATCATATATAACATAATGTCATATACAATAATATAATATATAATACATACTAATACATCATAAATAATATACTTTTCTTCTTTCTCCCGCTCTTTCTCTGTTCCTCCTTTTTTCCACTTGCGGTATCTAACACTGAGTCAAAAAAATTCAACGAAATTCGGGTCGCGGGGGAAACATTTGTCGTCGATTTTGAAGCTGGCAATGGTCAAACGCATATCCACACTGTGCCATCTCCGACGTATCGCATCGATTCCCGGGATACGAAAGAATCGTAGCCGCCATTTTTCACGCGGGAACACAGCGACAGAATCGGGAGTTCTGGGATGGAGAGAGGAAATGCCTAAAAATTATCAACGACGTTTCACTTAATTTCATAACACTCGAAATTCCGCTGGCCACGAATTCGTTTCTCGCAGCTCACGACCAAGATTTACGTATACTGTTCACAACTCATTGTCATTCTCGACCGGAAGACACGAAACAATCTAAATAAAAACGGCTGACACGCATCGCACAGCCCAGATCGAATCTACGATGTCAGAAGTTGAAGAGATAAGGGAAAAGTAACACCGAACAAGCTTGTTTCGAAATCTGAAAAGCTGTTCGATGAATAAACAGCGTATTCGATTAAACAATGAACCTCGAATTACGCTGGAAGCAATCGCAATGTCGATTTCGTTTATCTTATCGTGCATAATAGATTCGAGGCCATTAACGAAAATAATGCATCGATACTGTTCACCGGTCGATGGAGCGTCCGAAATTATTTAATTGCTACGCGAACCTGTTCTGAAATAAATCCCGACCCTATGAACAATTTAATCAAACGATTGATAACTGAATTTTTATGAACACGAAGCGTAACTTACTCGATTACGATTGAACACGTTAATTCAAATTTAATATTGCCTACACTTCCAACTTGATACGTGATTCATCGAATATTAACTATTCAATAAAATATCGTTAAGAAATTTGTGTAATTAGTGCTTTCATTCCTATCATATTTTGCTTTGAGCCGTCCGAGAAAAGTAATTTCAAGAACGGCAGACTTTACTCGGTGAATGACTTAGAATTCTCTTAACGACAAACCCTCCCCTTCGCCGACGAGAATAAGATATAGGATTCCGGCGAGTGGTTGTCAACTCTTTCCACTTCCTCGGAGTGGGCTCGCGCCGTTGGACGTTAAGTACGGGACTCGTGGCGAACAACACGCGAACGTGTTCGGTTTCGTTTATTTTCGGCTCGGCAATTGTGCCCGCACAACAATACAGGAATCACTGTCGTCTGCAGCGGTAAGATGAGAACGCGCGACGGGGCGTTGTCGATTAGAACAAAATCGAACGCGCAACCCTTCCTTCCAATCGCGCCAAGGGATAAGCGGCCATTGTCGGGCCTCGACAGGGCACTTCCTCCCCCCCTGTCTTGTCCGCGCCGGATATAACGACAGAAGTGTCAAAATACGCGGCTCCCGAACAATGAGCATAATGGTACAATGGTGGAAAGTGAGCGGGTCTTTTTAGAAAATATCTGGAAACGATCAATTTCTGTCGGTCCGTTGAAGAACTTCATCGAATTCCTTCGAGGTATACGCCCAATTAAAGAACTGAACTCTAAATTATAATTATTAGATACACCCAAAAATTCTGTTCGTTTTTAGACACTCAGAGATCGCCACGTATGTAGTGACGAGAAGTAACTAGAAAATGATTAATAAATCATTTCAGTGGTTTCTATTCTATACATGCACGCTACATAAAATGATAAATTTAGAAGTAAAAAAGTATTAAATATTCTCTTCAATATGATAATATTGATAATAACATTCCTCTTACTAAATTTCAGGAAACGGCTATTAGTTTCTCGATGATACGAATAAAGTGAATAAAACAAACGATGTTACTAACTCTAAAACGTTACCCTGGAATGTTACACGTCTCCCCGAGCATTGTCGAAGAATTCTGACAATGGCATGCACCGCTACATAGAAGACACTCCAACGAACATCGGCTATCTGATTATTCGAGTAACTAGCTCATTTCTCTTCACTCGGGAAATCCATTAGACGAGGCCAATGATTCACAGGATCCAAACAATGGAAGGTTACTCCTCTTATTCCTCTTTTGGTCAGGGGACGCTTAGGAGTTTAATCGTGAGATTAACCCCGCGCGTATTATGAAAATGGCCCTGCTATAGGTATGTAATATGTCTGTGTCCGACGCAACAATGTAGCCGGAGGCATGAAGAGGGCTTCTTCTATTCGTATCAAATTCTTTGAAGCGACGCGACGTGAAAGGTTGACTAAAGAATATTGACGATATATTATGGCTTGCGAGTACAAAACGGGGAACAAAATCCTAAACAGTGAATGAACCGGGGGGATTTTCATCTATCCGGGGAACAACCCGTGACTGCCGAAGGGGCTGAAGAAAACGCGAGCAAATCGTTTCTGTCTCGCGTCTACCCCCCGGCGAGTCGCGCCGCAGCGCGCAAATTGTTTGCACGAGGAGATAAGTGTTTGGCTACATTAATTTACATAACAGCGGGAGCATTGTTTCGATTTGTAACGTGTTGATGTTGATTCCACGCGCTGATCCATGTGTTTATGTACGAGGAACGGCGTAAATTGCACATGAAATTTCTTTCCCAAAATGATCATTCACAAGCCATTCATAAAGGTTTCATTATTGAATCTTTCAAATGTAAGCTAGTAACTTGTGCGAGAAATTCAAAGAAAATGTAATTTTTTCTACGTATAACACTAATAGCAAAAGGTAGCTTTTTCTATATTTATTCTAGCAGAATGTAATTTTTTCAATAGCTCAATTACTTACTCATTTAAGTAGTTATTTACTTTATATGCCTTGAATCTCTGTTTCCGAATATTTTTCAGAGTTTACCGTAAAAGAGTGCTGCGAACAGTACTGAATAATATATAAATCGGAACTAAGCGATTACCGCGAAACATCCGTGATAACAGAGAAAGATATCATGGTCGTTCCTAATGGCGAAAAGCGAGCGTACTTTAGATATGAGTAATTCAAGGTAAGCAGCTTGTGCATCATATTTTAAGATCACGTAGATTGCTTGGGAAAATGTGTATACGATCGTATGTACGATTCAGTTTAAGCCTTCACTGTGATTGGAATGTTATTCATAAAGTATTGAATGTCGCTGGTGAGTTCTCAGTATCGATTTCCGAACTAATATGATGAAATACAAACGGAAACTTGTCAACACATAAAGGGAAATAGATTTTAACAAATTTATTCCAAAATTTATTAGAATCGAATGATTATTGTCATTGACAAAAAATATAAGGAATTCTTCTCTTATTTCATTTTCGTGGAGAATACTTCGCAATATTTAATGAAAAATAATACGTTCAAGAATTTATATACAAATTTCTTTTATATAAACAAATTGTAATATGTATCTGTGTTAAAAAGGAAACCTGTGGTGCCTTACGGCGGCAGGAAACTCAATCATGTACGAAACTGTATACCGACCTACTCAGGATCAAGGTGAATGTTACCGACATAAATTATTTCCTGATCATCTTCCATCGATTTAAAATGCTGAATAATAATGGAGCATTATAAAATATTATTATAATAATGCCATTTAATAATTAAAATGTATGATAACAACTAATACATAATGTCTATCGCTATTCATTATTCATATCGGAATTAATTGTTGTAACCATAATAAAAATAAGTGTTAAAGTGCAACTCACTGAGTGTTGAATTCAGTGATTATCATAGGTCACTGTAATTGTTTACAATTTACGTATATGTTATAGTGTTGACTCTCGCGTTTAACGCTCTGAAACATTCTAACATGCTTAAATATTGAATAAGCTGTGGTACTGAATTCAGTTTTATGTGTATTTACGTAATTACCGCTAATTACAGTAAGAGGAACTTCGCTCTATTCACTAAACTTCGCTACCAAGCAACCTTCAACTATACAAGCACATTGCTCGAGATCGCTAAACTTTGCTGAAAATAATGAAACAAAGTTTCAAACTAATCAATTTAATGTTCTTTAAATAACAAGGTGCGCGTAAGTTTACAGCTTAAATACTTCTATCAATTTTAGATTGTCGAAGTGTGGTGAGGTGCACCTGTAAATTCAGAAAAACAAACACACATCGGCGGAGAAAGGGTAGGATTGGTGATAAAAGTGATAGGTTCACGATGCAACAGATGGTGTATGTGCAAGGACGTCGATTTCATCAATCGTTCAGGTGTCGAGGTCGCAGAAGTATCTCGGTTACATAAATTTGTTGCCTTTGTGGAAAAATAGCACAAGCGTAGCCATAAATTTGCACGAGTGTGACCAACACATTCCGTGTTAGCACTGTTGTGCTATTTATGCTCTATGGTAAACATTTCTTTCTCAGTTTCATTTCATAAGCATAGCGCTTTAAAATCAAACATTATAATGCATTAAAATCATACGAAATCATATAGATTTGCAAATTATCTCATGAGTTATCTATTTTTTTTTTAAATTCGCGTTATATCTTTCATGGGGCACAAAGGCCATCATCGCATAAAAATACTATATGTTTATTCAAAACAACTCGTTATCTTGTTTATGATTCTTGTATTGTAATGTTCGTAATATTCTAAAGTTTCTTCATGTTGTACTGTCATACTCCTTTTGCAATTTCTTTTACGTAGTGTCGAAATTTTTATTATTAATTCCACAATATCGTTACGCAAAAAGAAAATTTTTTAAATTGTTGCCGGTGAGATATATTTTTAGCTATTTCCGTAGATCGTTATTCATCTTTCCTAAGAAAGATAATTGTATCGCAGCTGACGCATTTGAAACGCGAGAGGCATATAAGTAACTAATCTATAGGCAAGCTAATCAATACTCCATATAGTCTGATAAAGTAAAAGTTTTCCCTACAATTCAAAAACACCGGCCATTTTAGTTTCTAGAATCTACTATCCATGCTTTTGTTAACGTTTGTCTTTTATTACTGACGCAGGGTCTTTTCAACAGTTATTTCCACATTTGGGGCATCGTAAAAAAAACAATTGTAGATTAGTTTGAACCTTCTTTATAGACGTATAATCGGGTTTACTGAACGTATTCCCATGGTGTGCCGTCAGATGGCTATTCGTGTTCCCTGTTGCATACGTCAGTGATAGTCAGTGAACATACGCGTGGCGTTGAAAGAGTCCTGTGAGATTAGGATGAACTAAATATCTGTGTTTGACCCCTAATTACTCAACATAGTGCTACAAGTAGTGAATTAAATGAATAAATAAAACTAATCTGAATGAAAGTAATTGAAGACAAAAGCATCTAATGCCTGTGCTGTTTAAAAATGATGCCTCTACAACATGACATTGCCTGTTGCACTTTAGTTTTTTTGATCATCAATCTTGTCAATGCCAACTTCCAAAATTATCTGAATCAGCAGGTATACAAGCACTTTAAATCTGTAATTTTTATGATAATCACGATAAAAGTTAATGGTATATAATATGGAAGAATGGCAGCTTAAATATCATTGATAATTTCTTTTATAGCACAGACCCTTGCATTTACCTGACAAGAGATTTGGTTTCAACGAGTATTCAGAATATAGTGACACCGGTGAGAGAGACAAGGGATCATTACCGCCACAATGGAATCAAGAACCATACATCTATGATAATGAGCATCTATTACAAGGTGGCACTGATTCTGTAGTAGATTTTTCAGATGCACTTGATAAAAGTAAGTTTAAATATAATATTCTCTGTGAGATGTATACATAAAATAATATAAAGAAGATAAATTTTGATTTTCTTAACCTATAGATATAGTATGGGATCCTAACTGGGCTAGCAACATAAGATTTGGCCAAATATCTGCTGTATCTATAGATCCAAATGGTAACATAGGAGTGTTTCACAGAGGTTCACGTACCTGGGGTGCTAGTACATTTAATGTAAATAATAGATTTGATCCAAATAATGGGCCAATTAAGGAGAATACCGTAATTCTTCTGGATAAATCTGGAAAAAAATTATTTGAGTGGGGTGGAAACATGTTTTACTTGCCACATGGCTTAACAATTGATTCATATGGAAACTATTGGATTACTGATGTTGCCTTGCATCAAGTATTTAAATTTGATGCTGAAGACATAGCAATGATGACGAATGTGGAAAAGTTAAGGAACAGGCGGTACAACCAGGAAAGAATATATCTTAATAATCGTAACTTTAACATTTTGTTCCAAAGTTATAATCCTAGGCCATCACTGATTCTTGGAGAACCTTTTGAACCTGGTAATGATGAAACACGATTTTGCAAACCAACAGCAGTTGCTGTACAAGATAACGGCGACTTTTTTGTCAGTGATGGTTATTGTAACTTCCGAATCATTAAATTCAATGCAAAAGGAGAAAGAATTTTGCAATGGGGTCGACGTTGGAAATACACAGGTATATTTTCACTCATCACATACTTATTTAAAAACTAATCTAAGATTGATTAATTCATTTGAAGTGTATTTTGTATTATAGGAAGTATATACATGCAAGATCCTCCACCAAATATGTTTTATGTGCCACATGCATTAGCCCTTGCTAGCGAGTTCAATTTAATATTTGTTGCTGACAGAGAAAATGGTAGAGTTTTATCGTTCTCTGCAAATAATGGAACATTCCAAAAACAATATAAGCATCCCACAATTGGTACAAAGATATACAGTGTAGCATACACTAAAGAGAAACTATATTTGATCAATGGTCCTGAACCACAGAATTCTGAACCACAGAATTCTGAACATATAAGAGGATTTATTCTTGATGTGCATTCTGGAGACATATTATCTCAATTTGGTCCGAATCATGACATGAATAGGCCACATGATATAGCTGTGACTGAAAATGGTTCTGAAATATATGTAGTAGAATTGAACACTCGAACAATGTATAAATTCTCACAAGGTAAGACCATTGATTCTTTCAAGGTGTAGTAAAAATCTATAATTATCATTATGTTTTTGTTTTCAGGTATAAATGCATCTGTGCAAACTGGAAAATCAGAGATAAAGTCAAAACCTCGTCATGAACCGGCACCGTTAACGGACAGTAACGCAAACAATCCTACCAGTGGAGGTACTACAACAGCAACATTAGTCTTATCCCTTGTTACAGCAGCAGTCATTTTTATTGCCCTCTGTGTAGCAATTGCTGCAGTTGTAGCAAGATGTCAGAAAAGAGGTAGATTGTTTCAGTATGATGAATCTGCTGTTGAATTCTCAAAACTAGTCGAATGAAAGTACAGATTTGACTAATTTTGGGTTGTTAACTAATAGTTGTGCACGCATGTCGATTAGTTTAGTCGAAATCGAGCGTTTCGGTAGTAACCTCAGATGTAGTTAATTTCATTGATCTATCATATGCTATTTAGCAAAGCATAATTTCCTCAGTGGCTGCTAAAAGATAAA